GAGTGAAACGGCGCACGTGGTGTCCATGCATGATCTTCGCATGTTGTCACAATGGACTGATCCAGATCAACCTTCTCTCCCTCCTGTTGTAATGGACTGCACGGACACTGCAGATCTGCAGGTTCACGTGCTAGTTGCCCTTTTGCTGGAGCATTTTCTTTCTTTCTTTTTTTCTGCGATATCATTCTATTTCAATGCCACAGCGGACAAATAGCAGATTTTGACTTGGTAAAATATTGCATTGTATATTATTTGTGGTGTTTGATGTTAGACGACTTGTCAGTCTGCCTTTATTTTATTTGCCGTAAATTCTTTATCTGTACTCTCTGTTTAGTTGTTTGAGCCGTCGGCCCGTACATCACGTGTCCCCCTGCGCAACTGGGACAAAGTCCAAGGGGCCGGGCGTTCTGGAAAGTTACCCAACAAATTTGCTTCAGTTGCAAATATTTCAGATCTAATGCCCCATAAGAATGTTTTGTACAGAATAACGTCTTTTGCACGGTATAAATATACTGGACAAAAATAGTAAGGGATATATGTAAATTTTGAAATTATGAATAAAGCTTTATTTATTTAGTGACACACTGATAAAACATGAGTCATAAAAATACAAATATCCCTAACTTATTTTGTTCTGTATATAAATAGAAGAATGCAATTTGGATACGAATGACATACCATTAACGTTTCATGAACCCCAATGGTGTCAGTATGTCTTTGTATACAGGTTTCTGCAAATTGATAAGGGCCGCTTTTACGAATATCTCAAGACAATTTTGCTTAATGATTTTACTTTAAATGTGCATTAACCCCACCCCAAATCCACCCCAAACATATATTAATAACTTTTGTTATGGAGTGAGTGAGTGAGTTTAGATTTACGCCGCACTCAGCAATATTCCAACTATACTAGTCACACAAAGAAACTGTGCATTGTCAAAATATTATCCCAGTTGATAAGTACGATAACAATGTCAAAGGTACATATAAACTTTAATGGAGACCATAACAAGTCGGGAGAATTTCAATTGAAAAGTCAATCACAATGACGTCACGAGTCCACAAGCGGGACGTATTGCACGTCTCAAGGACGAACCCACTGACGTCAAGGAACGTGGCACGTGCATGCATGTTGGATACATGTCACTAATCTCTGAGTTTAAATCCTCATGTGTCTACACAGGTTTGATAAATTTAGATTTTAAATTTTTGTATGCACAGTTTCTTTATGTGCCTAGTATATATGGCGGCTGTCTGTAAATAATCTTTTGTTATGGAGAAGGTATAATTTGGTTCAAAACGACCTGTAACAATATATGCTGTTTTTAGACACACAATTAATGTATATGATAGCGCATGTATATATGTCATGCTGTGGGTGGTCTGCTTAATGTGGAGCGGTGGGGTAGCTTAGTGGTTAAAGCGTTCGCTCGTTACGTCGAAGACCCAGGTTCGATCCCCACATTGTTACAACGTGTGAAGCCCATTTCTGGTGTCCCCCGCCGTGATATTGCTGGGATATTGCTGAAAGCTACGTAAAACTAAACTTACTCACTTACTCACTTGGTTGATGAAGGTCCCCAACTATGCTTATGATGTCAATCGCTGAGTCTTGATTATTTGGACACTGCCGTAATTTAGTTGGAATGTTGCAACTTGCAAGGTTGCTCATCTTGAGCTTTAAGAGCCTTGAATGGGCACAATGTGTGAAGCCCATTTCTGGTGTCCCCCGCCGTGATGTTGCTGGAATATTGCTAAAAGCGGCGTAAAACCAAACTCGGTCAGTCAGTCAGTTAAGAGCCTTGAGCCTGTTCATCAGAATGTTCTTTAGCAGGTGTCCGTCAAACCGGTATGCACTCACTCACTCACTCACTCACTCACTCACTCACTCACTCACTCACTCACTCACTCACTCACTCACTCACTCACTCACTCACTCACTCACTCACTCACTCACTCACTCACTCACTCACTCACTCACTCACTCACTCACTCACTCACTCACTCACTCACTCACTCACTCACTCACTCACTCACTCACTCACTCACTCGGTTTGGATCCCGGAATGGCCATGATTACATTTCCAGGTTTCGTTTCCCCCAAGTCTCAGATCTACCCCAATCTTTAGTCACTCCGATCTACTCTCCGAGTGCAGATAAACTTGACCCAGATGTTCCCATACCAACGTTTCTATTACTCAGATACTGTTATACGTCAGCCAAGATAGTTTGTTTTCTGATAAACAAAGAGATGTACACATACCTTGTGGCCTTGCTTAACTCGTCATCAAGACGGAGACGTATCTTAATTACTCTTGAACTATATCATCTCTGACTGTGATAAATGTTGTATGCTGTTAATGTTGTCGTTACTTGGTCTCGATAACGTGTTGATGATATGGCTGTGTCCTTCACAATCTCCTGCATCTGATAACAGGAACACTCATCCTTATATCTGTGAAAACAGACACGTATGTGATTCAGACACTTACACGTGTATCAACACAATATTTATACGATAGCACAAACACATACATACAGACCTACACTGAACTACCACAAGTCAGCAGGAGCACACTTGACGATTGGTACGTATATAAATTATCTGACCAAAGTTACTTGGATTTTATTGGTTATGGAAAGTACTTTTTGATACATTTCCATGTATTCCAGCAAGGAAATACATAACTGGAAAAAACATGCATTTTGCCACAGTGCAATTCGATCTTCCAACAGTGACTGAGTGAGTATGGTTTTCTGCAACTTTTAGCAATATTCTAGCAATATCACGGCAGAGGACATCATATGGGTTTCACTCATTGTACCCATGTGGGAAATCGAAGCCAGGTCTTCGGCGTAAGGGGCGAAAGTTTTATCCACTAGGCTAACCCACCGCCCGAGCTCCCAACAGTAACACGGCGTCGAATATTAACAGTGACTTTAGATGGACGCGATGCAGAGAGCCCGTACATATTGTGTAACGACAATCACACATGTGTGAGTGAGTTTAGTTTTACGCCACACCTAGCACTATTCCAACTATATGGCTTGACAATCACACATTTCTCAATGACCGTTTGTTTTGAAATAGTGGTACATGTATATGATAAAAATGGCTGTAAGATATATTTGTTGAAGGCATATATGTGGCCAGTACTGGTCAACTCTCTGCTCGATAACCCTCAGATGTCGCGTCCACGGTGCTACACACACAAAATGCCCCTTAAACCGTATTCCCACAAAAAAGGACTACATGTTAATGAATATGAAAGCCTACGTTGTTTTAAATTGTAATTATTGTTTGACTTCATTTCAACTCTTCACTACACCCAGTCTCGTTGATCTTCAGTAACCCATGCTTGTAGTAAGAGGCGACCAACGGGATCGAGTGGTCAGGTTCGCTGACTTGGTTGACACATGTTATCGTATCCCACTTGTGTAGATTGATGTTCATGATGTTGATCACTTGATTGTCTGGTCCAGACTCGATTATTTGCAGACCTCCGCCATATAGCTGGAAAATTGCTGAGTGCGGCGTAAAACTAAACTCACTCACTCACCCAGTCTCGTTAGTTTCACAAAAGTGGTTAACGTCTGGAAGCCGCATCACCTTGACTGTCACACACAATGATATAACTGAAATACTTTTGCACTCGAAAAAATATTTCTACCGTATAGTTTTTAACCCAACTCGCTCATTTAAGTGTGCGAATGAATAATAAAACTCAGCCACACAGCTAAAACTAGTCGCCTAACGTCAATCCAAGTTTAAGAACATGTGAAACGTTCTCACTGACTATTGGGAATTGGTAGTATACGGCTGTATGGCAATATATGTGGTGATATGATAAGACATGATGCATACAGTGAGTGAGTTTAGTTTTACGCTGCACTCGGCAATATTCCAGATATATGGCGGCGGTCTTTAAATAATAGAGTCTGTACCAGTCAATCCAGTGATCAACAGCATAAGCATCGATCTACGCAGTTGGGAATCGATGACATATGTCAACCAAGTCAGCGAGCCTGACCACCCGATCCCGTTAGTCGCCTCTTACGACAAGCATGGGTTACTGAAGATCAATATTCTAACCCGGATCTTCACGGGTCTGATACATACAGAAACCTGTAAGGAATATTAGCATGTTGTTCCAAATTATTTCAAGAGATATTTAAGAAATAATGACATTTGGAATACATAAGGAATGTTAACAGCAAATCAAGGTTAAGTTCTATGGATTTAGGCTCCAGGTTCACTTTTGAAACCAAGTGTGTTAGTGAGTTTATATGGCGGACCAAGCGTAAAGGTAACACCTGTTTGATGTTGGCCATGTATATATCTGCAGTAAACTCTGTTTATAATGAATATGCGTATATCGAACTGACGAATATAGCGAACTGTAGTTCGGCTACTTTCTGTATATTTTAACTGAAATGTGTACATTGAACTACGGCCTTAACGAACTACTTATATATAAGTATTCCCTTTGAGTTCGAGAAAACCGTAGCTTACTGTACATGACACACACGTATGTACCCGTAAAGATCTGGGGTAGAATAGGTCTTTAGCAAACCCATGCTTGCCATAAAAGGCGACTATGCTTGTCGTAAGAGGCAACTAACGGGATCGGGTGGTCAGTTTCGGTTGACACATGCCATCGGTTCCCAATTGCGTAGATCGATGGTCATGCTGTTGATCACTGGATTGTCTGGTCCAGACTCCATTATTTACAGACCGCCGCCGCATAGCTGGAATATTCCTGAGTGCGGCGTATAACTAAACTCACTCACTCACATACACCTATGCGTATATATTCGTGCTTTGCTGTGACACATCAGTGTAACTATTGACACGGATTATGTCGGTAAAACCGCAGCTTGAGTGAACCCGGCCCTTTACTACGAATCAGTCAGCTGATTGAGCTAAATGCCACAGCTGTAATCTGGCCGAATGTGTACCCTGTCAGCTAAAAGGAACATATTTAAAAACACTTGAGATATGGTCGGTCACCTGGTTATCTCTGTGCTGGGCCACTACTATATAAGCCCACCTGCTTTGGGCCCAGATTAGCTGTGGGGGCTGACTTTGTTAAGGTGAGATGTTTTGGGTAAAACGGTCTTCGCGAGCTACCTTTCTGAATTTAATATACACGTATGTACCGTGTTTTGTATACGCATTTATGCAGAAGGTTGTTTTACTTCAATATTTCCACTTATTCAGACCCTAAAGTATATGATGTCACGATTTGGGGATTAAGTAACATCTCAGAATGTTCCAACCTTTAAATTATTACATAAGTATGTTGTACGTCGATTTCATTTAATCGAAATTCGATTACTGAGAAAGTACGCTCGGTGTTAATTTTTTTTGTTTAAAAAAATGTTTTCCATTACAGGATTAAAATCTGCTCACAAATTTGAGCCATTGAGATTGTGATCAGAACTTTATTCGTTTATCGAACATTAAATTTGATTGATATGGCGCTTTCAACTCAATGCCTTATACAAAAGGCTCGTTATGCAGAGCAGTCAACAAATTCAAGATTTCATTTATTGCGTGTCACAGACACAACATAATACTCTGAAGGAAATATTTCTATTCAATCACCGGTTTAACGACATCAAGGAATGATTTCTGTCAATGGCGGTATTTATGTATCGCGATATTAAACCGAGTAACATAAGGCCTGGCAATGAAATAAACACAATCGTTTACAGTATTAATGTAATTTCTTGTTGGTGTTGTAAGATCCGGTGCGTTGTTGTCAAATGTCAATCGGAACATTTCAATCTATCAAACAACGTAAATTAAAATATCAGGTACATCTGAAACTGAAATTCCCTTCTCATTTTGTTTTCCAGGTAGCCACGATGCTGAAGTTCCTCGTTGTAGTAGCCCTCTTGGGGGCCACGTTCGCCAAAGAGTAAGTATATAGTTGGTTCTAAACCAGGTTTTAGTTTAATCAACATAAACACAACAAGTTATATTGAAATTTCGTTTAAGCCGAAGTAAAATGATTCCAGCAAAGTCGGAAAACAGAACTGTCTAGAAATACGACATATGCAATACGCTACTTTCTTTTGATTGTCATCGTTACTTCTAGTTTCACGATATGTTATGCATATAATTCTCCTATCAAATATTCCGGACCCAAGCAGCGTGCGTCGATTCTGTTTAACCACTTTCAGCAATGATTCACCTGTTCCTGATTAAAACTACGAAAATAAACATAAATGAAATAATAAACCCCTGTAGGAAGACAATCGTTGAGTGGAATTTCAAAATTTGTTTAAGGAGCATTGATACATATACGATTATATAAGATTATTTGGTTAACCAGTGTTATGGAAGTACGTGGGGCATACTGACACAAGACTTTCAAATACGCCTGACACGATCTGACAACATGACTTTAAAGGTTGTTTAAATAAGGGTGAGAAGAGACCTTTCTATATCCCGTCTAACGCTAACGAACCGTACCCTGGCCTCGTTGCGACCATCGAACCATATTAGGGATTTGATTGATACCCGATAGATGTTACCTCTGTTACTTGTCCTTCAGCGTATTAATTGAAACAATTATTAAGGAATCAGCGAAGTTGAAACAAGCTTATTCCGTGAGTGAATGATGTTTTACGCAAAGTCATCGACGGACAAGTATATTTAGACAGTCATTGTAGCTATCACCAGTGATGATGATGGGACGGTAAAGGTGTTTCCGAATGGAAGTACATCATCTTATATAATATATTGTGTGAATGGAAGTACGTCATGTTATATAATATATTGTGTGAATTCTAGTTAAAGAGGTTTCATTGTGGAACGGATCCAGGATGCAGGATCCGCTACTGATGTAGTGTTGCTGATGTTTCTGTAACTAATGGCGTCTCCAACACTTATCATTTATAATATTGGTGGTTTTTAGAGTAGCCTGGCTTGTTGACATATTCGATTTGTTTCGTTCAATGCGAACGTGGACTGCGTAATCAGTTTTATGTCAACAAACAGTTGACACATTTTACAGACTGACCAAGGCGACTGTTTCAAATTGTACTGACCAAGGCGACTGTTTCAAACTGTACCGACTAAGGAGACTGTTTCAAATTGTACTGACCAAGGCGACTGTTTCAAACTGTACTGACCAAGGCGACTGTTTCAAACTGTATTCAGACCGAAGCCTCGCCGACAACTATGACGCTTACACCTTGACACATGAGCCTCAGGTGTTGTGTACAAATGGGAGATGTAGTCGGGCAGGTTTGACGTGAGCATTTAACGTCGACCTTTTAGTGTTTCGTCTCCTCCTTACTTCTCCAAACATTTGGATAACTCGCTGAACCCTGAAACACCAGGCATTCTTGCGTTGGTGTGAGTAAATATCCATCTACCGCTATTACTGTGAGTTGCTCAGGTTGTCTTTCTCTAATTTGTTCACCCCGCCATCTGGGCTGTTTACTGTTAAAGACAATAGGCAATATCGTCTTGTAGTTATAGTTTTATGCTTGTTGCACGTACACACGGCATGGTTGTGAATACAAACTTTAAGCTACGACAAGTACCGATAAAGTGATGTGCAATGTGTCTCCGGTACCTAGACAGACATAGGGGTGGTGCCTTAGCCCAGTGTTTAAGGCGTTCGCTCTCACCCTGGTTCGATACCCCACATCGGCACAGTTTTTAAAAGGATCCCTTGTGATAATTCTGGATCATTATAAAACCGGCGTAAAACCATACTCAGTCAGTTGATAGCCGTAGGGGTTGTGGGCTAGCACAGTGGTTAAGGCCTTTGCACTCAAGAGCACGGTGGCAGAGGCGTCTATGGCCCTCTGTGCTGAGTTTATCTTCCTTTGGCGCAAGAAACGTGGGTTCGAATCTCAGTTTCTTCATTGTTATGTATCAATGGTTGGCTGAACCATAAGTGGTGAACGTAAAACTTGCATCACAAGGGCTTTCCTTCACACATTGTTTTCTTACTGAAGTTTTGAAGCGTGAACCCGTTGACTTAAATCTATACACCGACTCTAACCTCAACATCGTTCACACCAACCTCGCCGCTCTCCATCACACTATATGTTACGTTAAACTCACTAACTCAATATGCAAGCATGTTTTTACATCACATAGTTTATACATATGTATGGTATAGATCAAATATGGAAATGACATTTCTGTTGCAGTTCCTACGTCATACTGTCCCCGACATCCGTTAGACCGGGTATGGATTTTGAGGTCAGTGCCAACATCCTTAAAGCCACCGGTAACGTCAATGTCAAGGCCACGTTTGTTAAGGGGATGCAATCCATCGCTTCTGCAAGCGGAGTTCTGGCTCAAGGTAGGTAACCGTTCAGAATAACCACAATTAACGTTAACTGTTAACTGGCCCGTTGTATTCTAACATCTTTTAACCTCTGTTGCTATACATATGGTATTTTAATCAAAATTTTATTTCATTTACAGGTCAGCCCCAAAGTATAACCATCAAGGTAAACAGAACCATTTTATAAATTGTATTTTCATATGTTTATACAGGTAGCGTTATTCATCATCAATAAATCAATCTCTAAAATGCCTATAGTATCAGTGGACAAACTGGTTCTGAGGATCTGGAACTTGGGTGACTGGTCACCATACCCTGACGGCGTGGGTGCCTGCTGGCTCCTTTAACCACAATTCAATATGATTCATTCTTGATGATGTACAGGCCATCATGATGCCACTTCGCTGTTGTTGTGGCGGTAGATTAGATTTGTTTGTTTTTTAACGCCACACTCCATATTCCAGCTATATGGCGGCGGTCTGTAAATAATCGAGTCTGAACCACACAATCCAGTGATCAACAGTATGATCATTGATCTACACAAGTGGGATACGATGAGCCTGACCACCCGATGCCGTTAGTCGCCTATTACGACAAGTATGGGTTGCTGAAGTTTAAATTCTAACCCGGATCTTCACCGGTCTGTGGCGTTAGACAACACTGCCTTAACTCATTCATTTACAAATATCTGTCTGTGTCATTTTATCGATTGGTTGGTAAGACATTACCAAATTTGATTATAGTTGTTCATTGTGAAAACATTTTTCTAATGTGTATCACAGTCGATTCTTAATATGATCAGATACCTAAAGATCTGAAAAGCGGAAGCTACAAACTGAAGGTTACAGGAAGTGGTGGTTTGACCTTCAGTAATGAGACGACGCTGGCCTTCAACCACAAGAGCATGTCCATCCTCATCCAGACGGACAAGGCCATGTACAAGCCTGGTCAAACAGGTCAGTCAGCAAGGCAAACAATGGTGTGGATCCTACTGTTTAACGTCCGGAAGAGTCCTGGAAAGTTCACCAAACGTCCGGGAGATAAATACTGCATTTTAGTGCGTTAACAATCTCATTAAAATCCGATCTTAGTTCTGACTAAATCTATACCACCATCTGAGGACATCCCATCACCTCAATGTTCAGAACCACCTTTCATTCCACCAATGAAAGCGTCGCCTATCAGATCGGGAAAGTGACGGACGGAAATCGTGTTACAGTAATGTAACCTCGGAAAGATAAACGCGAGGCATTTGAACAACAGTGAAGAGCTAGCTGTAGGGCGGATTTTGTCAAATCATCCACTATCTATTGCTTCTGTCGGGTATTCAGCTGAACAGAAGAGACTTGCCTGGACCTCCGAAGTAATGCTATAAAATATCCTATTAGACATTTTCACATTTTGAAAGTAAATTCGGGAACTTTGTCCAAATATGTTTTGAAGCACAGTTGTGGATGGAAGTGGCCAGTCATACGGGCTTCTCTCATTGTACCCATGTGGGGATTCGAACCCGGGTATTCGGCAAACGCTTTAACCACAAGGGTACCCCATCGCCCCCAAATACGCAGTGATACTGGGCATCGCTACCGAAGAACATGAGTGTAACGCTACCAGTAAATGAATAGTTCTTGTCTGTAATTTCGTTTTCGTTAATGGCGCCAGATTGCAATGCAATTTTAATTTGATTCTAAATGATTTGTTTCGGTAATTTCAGTAAATTTCCGGGCATTTGCCATGTTCCCCGACATGAAAGTGTACACCGGCGCCCTGGACATCGACATCTTCGTGAGTAACATCTAACACTTTATGTTATTTAAAGTTAAGCACGCACCGGTTTACCAGAAAATGTACTGAAATGCAATAATTCTTTGGACATAGATTTGAAAAAGGACCCCTTCCCCCTAAATAATTTACAAATATATAGAAGTTCTTTTCTGATAGTATCGGGGACATTGATTTTAATTCATGAAAATGCACGGTGTTTTGGTTTTTAGGACCCCAACTCCAACAAAATCAAGCAGTGGGTGGGGTTGAAGGACGCTAGCGGCGTCATCACCAACTACCTTCCCACCTCCAGCCAACCTGTACTCGGTGACTGGAAGATCAAGGTCACCGCGGGTGTAAGTGTTGCATGTTATACGTAGATGACACTTCACTGATAGAAAGCGTACACATATTTATTATTTATATATGCAGATACCTGTAATATTTATTACATGCATATTGTATAGGTGATAACTTGGTGATAAGTTCTAAATCTTATCTTTTACAGAGTATGACAGAGGAGAAAGTTTTCACAATCGCAGAATATGGTGAGTTTTATGTAACGGAACTGCTCGTAAATAACAAGCGGGTGACTTGGTGAGAATGAGTAAGTGGTTTACTCCGTGTTTACAATATTCGGCAACTCTATGTCGGGGGATAACGTATCAAAATCTTGTGGGGAATCGGACGTGGACCCCTCAGAGCAGTAATTATTCATGTGTTTAGAAGTCTGTAAATAATCGACTCTGGGCCAGACAATCCAGTGATCAACAGCATGAGCATCGATCTACGCAACTTATGTTTAGAAGTGCACGATACAACAATTAATGTCAGTGACTGAAAACTTTAAACATGATCTTGATATTGTTGGAATATTGCTAGAAGCGGCGTAAAGCAATACTCACTCACTCAATAGGGATCGGGTGACCAGGCTGCGTCATTTGACGCGTTGGTTGCCATGGTTCCACGATGCTGTGTATCAGTCACCGGTTTATCTGGTCCAGACTGGATTATTTTTTTCAACCCGCGACAAAGCGTGAACAGTGCTGAAATGCGGCTTCAAATACTATTCATCCAACCACTGGTGATCCATCTGCCATCGACAGGATAATCACGGAAAGCTTTCCTTTTTTCAGTTTTGCCTAAATTCGAGGTAACAGTGGAACTACCATCATATGCACTTGTCACTGACGATCACATCACCGCCACAGTCAAAGCCACGTGAGTGAAGGGTCTCCTTGCATTGGTGTACTTGAGGTTAAAAGTGATCAAATGTAGTGAGCGAGGCGCTCTAAATGTATCGTCACATCGGCAATATTTCAGCCATATAGTAACGAGAAAACTTGAGAAATGTCACTTGCAACATATAAGGTGTATTTTGGTTTTCGGTGTTCTGGTCATAACAGAACGACTTCATGTTTTGTTCATCAAGAAGGAATGTCAACCCAAACTGTGATTCTACTACAATTATATTCTTATTTTAGACTTACTCTCAAAGTACGCTTACGCTGTTTGATTCTTTCATCACGGATAACTACTTATTCAGGTACACCTATGGCAAGCCGGTGAAGGGAACAATCAACTTGCAGGCCAAGATGGAACAGTACTATAGGCCCTGGAATTATCATGGGGAGGAACCGATGGTCAAGAAGACAATGGCTGTGAGTGGTTATTCAGATATCCTGGAGGGGCAATTGTTGAAGCCAAAGAAACAACAATAATTTTAATGTAGGGGCGTTGTAGTCCTCGTATAAGCAGACAAAGTAAATAGAGTAGTGGAAGTTGTAGTGGTGGTGATAGTAGTAGCAGTAGTAGCAATAGTAATGGTAGTAGTAGTAGTCGTGGTGGTAGAAGTAGTAATAGTAGTAACAGTAGTAGTAGTAGTAGTAGTAGAAACAGTAATAGTAGTGGTGGTAGTAGTAGTAACAGTAGTAGTAGTAGTAGCAGTAGCAACAGTAGTAGTAGTGGTGGTAGTAGTAATAGTTATGGTGGTGGTAGGAGGAGGAGAAGTGGCAGTTGTAGTAGTAGTAATAGTGGTAGTAGCAGTAGCAGCAATAGTAGTAGTGGTGGTGGTACCACTAGTAGTAGTAGCAGTTGCAGTAGTAGTAGTATAGTTGCAGTAGTAGTAGTAGTAGTAGTAGCAGTAGTAGATGCATATTAGTCGTGCTAGTAGTACACGTGTATTGGTTCTGTTCTACTGGTCTACTGGTCGTAGTAGTGGTACGTGGGTATTGGTCACAGTAGTAGTGGTACGTGGGTATTGGTCACAGTAGTAGTGGTACGTGGGTATTGGTCACAGTAGTACGTGGTACACAGTAGTAGTGGTGTGTACGTGGGTATTGGTCACAGTAGTAGTGGTACGTGGGTATTGGTCATACAGTAGTGGTGGTACGTGGGTATTGGTCACAGTAGTAGTACGTGGGTGGGTATTGGTCACAGTAGTAGTGGTACGTGGGTATTGGTCACAGTAGTAGTGGTACGTGGGTATTGGCTCACAGTAGTAGTGGTACGTGGGTATTGGTCACAGTAGTAGTGGTACGTGGGTATTGGTCACAGTAGTAGTGGTACGTGGGTATTGGCCACAGTAGTAGTGGTACGTGGGTATTGGTCACAGTAGTAGTGGTAGTAGTGGTAGTATTGGTCACAGTAGTAGTGGTACGTATTGGTCATAGTAGTCACAATGACAGTAGTGGTACGTGGGTATTGGTCACAGTAGTAGTGGTACGTGGGTATTGGCCACAGTAGTAGTTGTCTCCATCGCATTCGTAGTAGTTGCTGTAGTTTGAACATTGGGTGACTGCGGAAATATCACCAGCTGTAGTAGTGTTTGTATAATGAGTGAGTGAGTGAGTTTATTTTTACGCCGCTTTTAGCTATATTCCAGCAATATCACGACGGGGAACACCAGTAATGGGCTTCACACATTTTACCCATGTGGGGAATCGAACCCGGGTCTTCTGCGTGACGAGCGAACGCTTTAACCACTGGGCTACCCAACCGCCCGTTTGTATAATGACCACATATAAAGTAGTTTTAGCAAATTATGTCGTCGGTTTAAAGTATTCCGGCTGATTCGTGACAATGTGTTCGTTTTATTGATCGCTGTCTCTATCCGGAGCATCATTTGCCTTTCCAGACTGATGGCGAGAGCAGGGTGACCCTCTCTCTTGCTGATATGAAGAAGGTTTTCCCTAATGGCCTCCAAAACCGGGAGATCAGGGTGAGCGCCAGTGTGACTGAGGAATTGACTGGGATAACTCTGAATGGAACCAGCAAGGTGAAGATCTACCAGTACGCCACCAAGCTGTCCTTCGCCCCATCGGATCCCAAGACCTTCAAACCCGGCCTCAAATACATCGCCTATGTGAGTTGAAACTCTCTGTGTCATGGAATAAAACTGCCGTTAAACTTTCCTGTTGATCTGCAAGATCAACAAAGGAATCCTTGTTTCAAGTAAACTTAATTTATGGAAACTTTTTATATATATTTCCTGATAAATGCGATATAACGTCATCACCCGTAACAAAGCTGATTGATAATATGAATCTTTCGATCACCGTGCCCCTTCTTGACCTATATGGTCATCGTCGTCTCAATTCCGCAGCTGCAAGTCCAGCAACAAGACGGCCGTCCAGTCCAGACAAGCACCCAGCGAGTGACTGTGAGCACTAGAGTGACCAGTCAGATCAAGGAGACGACCACTCAGGCCTTCTATTATCCCAGAACGACTTCCTTCACCATCCCGGACCAAACCTTCTCAGTGCCAGACACAGGACTGGTCCCAATTGAAGTCCAAGTCCCGTCCAACGCCAGCAGCGTCAGTCTCACTGTACGTATCACCATACCAGTGCATACCAGTACCATACCATAGCAGTCATATACCATACCATACATTGTACGTATGACCGTATCGGTACCATACCATAGCTACAATACTGTACCGTATGACAAGGCGATACAACACTGCTCATTTTTCTTTCGAGGTCCAAATGCAATATACAGATCCAAATGTTCAGTTGATTTAAACGTTTACCTAATGTGACCTGACGTGATAGTTTTCTTGCAGTAAATTGCTCAACAAACACATATCTATGTTCTCGGTTGTAGGTAAAGTATGGCAAGGTTTCGACCAGCAAGAGCATTGAGAAGAGCTATTCGCCGAGTGACAATTACATCCAGCTGCTCCTGAAATCTCAACAACTTACAGTAAGTATCTCACGTAATTGTCTCCAACTTACAGTAAACCGTCTCCAACAACTATAGTTCAAGACAAAAGAAGTACAAGGGACAAGTACGTTTACTCGGTGCACGACTTTCCTCTGGGAGAGACGCTGGTCACACCACACAGAAAATGACGATCCAATATAAACTAACGGTATTTTGACGTCGGTACGTTTTCCACGTGACCGAAAGCACTGACAGACTATTTCCACATTCCCGAAGAAACATGATATGTTACCTACAAATAGAAATCCATATTTTAAAAAAAGATTCCACACCAATTTGGCTTTGCTACGCCCAATGGAATCGACCTTTAATCTTCCACGTGACTTCACTCACGTATGCACCTTTGTAGGGCGAGGGAGGAGGCAACGTGTAAACGGCGCAGACTGTGTCGACAAAGTTGACATCAAAACATATTTGAAGAAATTGTAATGACAAAATGTGTTGGTGGTTTACAGGCCGGAAGCAATGTGAATTTCGACGTCAAGGTCACCGAATCCATCAGTAGGCTGGTCTACCAGGTATGTTGAATATAAAAAACACAAAAAGGATATCATGTTACAAGAAATCAAAAGTAAAAGAGATTTTGTTGAATTAAAGCTTTCTTCTGATCAAATTCTTTCTGTTTTCCCAGATGTTTATATTTATTCTAGGTCATGTCTCGTGGTTCTATCGTGGCCACTGGCACTATCAACCAAGCCAACCTCGCATCATTCTCCATCCCGGTAACATCCAAGATGGCGCCTAATGCCCGGATCATTGTGTATTACGTCAGGACAGATGGCGAAATTGTCACTGACAGTGTCAGCTTTGATGTGGACGGCGCGTTCGAGAACAAGGTATGCGTAGCAACAGTCCGGTATCAAGTTGATCTTGACATTAAGCAGATAACGGTAAATCCGGCATAAAGAACTGTGATTGTCAAAGTTATTCATTCAAACTGACTAAGGCCACTTACGAAATTAGAGTTACTCAGTTGTATTTTCCACTCCAGGTGGCTATCTCTATGGACAAGACATCTGCCCAGCCTGGTGACAGTGTCAATGTACAGGTCACCGCTGACCCTCAGTCCCTGGTCAACCTCCTGGCCGTAGACCAGAGCGTCCTCCTCCTCAAGTCCGGAAATGACATCACACAATCTGAGGTAGGTCAAGTTTGATCGACGACGGTCAAGGTTGACAAGGTTTCAGTTAATTTACACAATCTCAGGAAGGTCACGGTTAACCTGTTTCACACAATCTCAGGTAGGTCAAGGTCGAATGACGAGTTAACTGTTTCACACAATCTCAGATAGGTCATGGTTAACCTCGTTTCACTTGATTTACGCCATCTCAGGTAGGTCACGGTTAACCTGTTTCACACAATCTCACATAGGTCAAGGTTAACTTCGTTTCACTTGATTTACGCCATCTCAGGTAGGTCACGGTTAACCTGTTTCACACAATCTCACATAGGTCAAGGTTAACCTCTTTTCACTTGATTTACGCCATCTCAGGTAGGTCAGGGTTAACCTGTTTCACACAATCTCACATAGGTCAAGGTTAACCTCTTTTCACTTGATTTACGCCATCTCAGGTAGGTCACGGTTAACCTGTTTCACACAATCTCACATAGGTCAAGGTTAACTTCGTTTCACTTGATTTACGCCATCTCAGGTAGGTCACGGTTAACCTGTTTCACACAATCTCACATAGGTCAAGGTTAACCTCTTTTCACTTGATTTACGCCATCTCAGGTAGGTCACGGTTAACCTGTTTCACACAATCTCACATAGGTCAAGGTTAACCTCTTTTCACTTGATTTACGCCATCTCAGGTAGGTCACGGTTAACCTGTTTCACACAATCTCACATAGGTCAAGGTTAACCTCTTTTCACTTGATTTACGCCATCTCAGGTAGGTCAGGGTTAACCTGTTTCACACAATCTCACATAGGTCAAGGTTAACTTCGTTTCACTCGCCATCAGGTAGGTCACGGTTAACCTGTTTCACACAATCTCACATAGGTCAAGGTTAACTTCGTTTCACTTGATTTACGCCATCTCAGGTAGGTCACGGTTAACCTGTTTCACACAATCTCACATAGGTCAAGGTTAACCTCTTTTCACTTGATTTACGCCATCTCAGGTAGGTCACGGTTAACCTGTTTCACACAATCTCACATAGGTCAAGGTTAACTTCGTTTCACTTGATTTACGCCATCTCAGGTAGGTCACGGTTAACCTGTTTCACACAATCTCACATAGGTCAAGGTTAACCTCTTTTCACTTGATTTACGCCATCTCAGGTAGGTCACGGTTAACCTGTTTCACACAATCTCACATAGGTCAAGGTTAACCTCTTTTCACTTGATTTACGCCATCTCAGGTAGGTCACGGTTAACCTGTTTCACACAATCTCACATAGGTCAAGGTTAACCTCTTTTCACTTGATTTACGCCATCTCAGGTAGGTCACGGTTAACCTGTTTCACACAATCTCACATAGGTCAAGGTTAACTTCGTTTCACTTGATTTACGCCATCTCAGGTAGGTCACGGTTAACCTGTTTCACACAATCTCACATAGGTCAAGGTTAACCTCTTTTCACTTGATTTACGCCATCTCAGGTAGGTCACGGTTAACCTGTTTCACACAATCTCACATAGGTCAAGGTTAACCTCTTTTCACTTGATTTACGCCATCTCAGGTAGGTCACGGTTAACCTGTTTCACACAATCTCACATAGGTCAAGGTTAACCTCTTTCACTTGATTTACGCCATCTCAGGTAGGTCACGGTTAACCTGTTTCACACAATCTCACATAGGTCAAGGTTAACCTCTTTTCACTTGATTTACGCCATCTCAGGTAGGTCACGGTTAACCTGTTTCACACAATCTCACATAGGTCAAGGTTAACTTCGTTTCACTTGATTTACGCCATCTCAGGTAGGTCACGGTTAACCTGTTTCACACAATCTCACATAGGTCAAGGTTAACTTCGTTTCACTTGATTTACGCCATCTCAGGTAGGTCACGGTTAACCTGTTTCACACAATCTCACATAGGTCAAGGTTAACTTCGTTTCACTTGATTTACGCCATCTCAGGTAGGTCAGGGTTAACCTGTTTCACACAATCTCACATAGGTCAAGGTTAACTTCGTTTCACTTGATTTACGCCATCTCAGGTAGGTCAGGGTTAACCTGTTTCACACAATCTCACATAGGTCAAGGTTAACTTCGTTTCACTTGATTTACGCCATCTCAGGTAGGTCAGGGTTAACCTGTTTCACACAATCTCACATAGGTCAAGGTTAACTTCGTTTCACTCTGATTTACGCCATCTCAGGTAGGTCAGGGTTAACTTGTTTCACACAATCTCCACATAGGTCAAGGTTAACTTCTGTTTCACTTGATTTACGCCATCTCGGGTAGGTCACGGTTAACCTGTTTCACACAATCTCACATAGGTCAAAGGTTAACTTCACTTGATTTACGCCATCTCAGGTAGGTCCATTTACGCCATCAGGTAGGTCACGGTTAACCTGTTTCACACAATCTCACATAGGTCAGGGTTAACTTCGTTTCACTTGATTTACGCCATCTCAGGTAGGTCAGGGTTTACCTGTTTCACACAATCTCACATAGGTCAAGGTTAACTTCGTTTCACTTGATTTACGCCATCTCAGGTAGGTCACGGTTAACCTGTTTCACACAATCTCACATAGGTCAAGGTTAACTTCGTTTCACTTGATTCACGCCATCTCAGGTAGGTCAGGGTGTGGCCAGGTGTCACTCAGCACAATGAATCAAGATTCAAAAATGCAAACTCTTCATCCTGACCACGAGTGAATGTAATCTCGAATCACTATTTACAATTGATTTGTCAACAGGTTATCAGCGAACTGAAGTCATACGACACCATCAACAATGTAGGTGGAGGATTTGGACGCCCAATTCCACTTGGTGCTGTGGCTCGCCGCAAGAGGATGGCAATACCTTGGGGCGGATGGTGGGGATTCCCCACCTACTATGGCGGAAGTGACGCCACCCAGATCTTCAAGGTATGCAACCATTCAGTAATATCGTTATCAACCTCCTGGAACACACGAACACATCTGAAGAGCATTTTATTTTGACTGAAACCATTGTTTTGCGAAGATTATATATAAGATATAATCGCCTCACCAAATCTGCGTTGAATACGTTTGAGGAACACATTTAAGGCAGTGGCGTGTGGTCCTGTGCAAAACGCTCAGGTCAGAATCAGTTGAAGTTAAGCAACGTTGGGCGCGGAGAGTCCTTGCATGGGTGACCGTGGCATCTTGACTCATGAGAGTTTCGAGGACTTCAGTCCTGGCCCACAACGAAGCACACGTGATACATGTGGTCTCACCTTAGGCAAGTGAGTTTGTTCAAAATTGACCCTGTTCACCCAGCAGAAAATGGGTACCCGGTGAAATAAGTCGTGAGACTATTAACCTTCTAGCACCTAACAGGCAGCTTGGGTTATCCGGGGTAATAATGATCAGATATAAATATTCTCAGTATTATTATTTAAACCTAACCTCAGTGCCAGATTACTGCAGTTTGCACATTTTTCACAGGTCGTTCTTCATTTGTGTTCCCGCTTTTCAGTTTGAAAGAGTAAACCGTTATATTCAGTTTGATAGATTTGATACGTGGGTGTCAAGAAAATGGAATCGGGATTTTCTTGTTTCGTAGTTTCCAATTATCGAGACAGGTTACCATTTCAATGAATAAAGGATCAGTCTTCGGCTGTCATTTTCTAAACAGATGGAAGTTGAAAATTTGCCATGACTGGTAATCTAGTTCTTTCATTCCAGAACTCCGGCGTGGCCGTGATGACAGATGCTCTTGTGTACAAATACGTCAAGCCCTATTGTAAGTTGCATTCTTTTCTATATAGACGTATACAACATGTTGTACAAAACCGTTTTCATATAATCACCCGACACAGTTAAATTGAAATGCAATCAAATGACTTTCCCCAACACAACAATATGCGAATTATCAATAGAAATACTTATCCAATCGAGGCAGTAAGAAATTGCATCAAATTCTTAATTTTTTTCAATGTTATAGTACACCTCTTTTTGACAGGTCTTTTCGGTGAGAGTAAATCAGAAGGGGTCTTTATATAAAATGCGTACACGATTTGATGCTGCCTCGGGTTTTACACATACTCAGGATATACCGGCTGTCCTGACACATTTTGAAAGGCATTTTCGAAAAGGTGTATTTCTTATCTGAGCTAGCATAAACAATTAATAGGGATAAAAGTGGGCGATGTCCCATCACGTGACCCCTCACTTAATATAAGTAGGCCCTTATTTGATCGATGACCATGCTGTTGATCACTGGATTGTCTGGTCCTGACTCGATTATTTACAGACCGTCGCCATATAGCTGGAATATTGTTGATTGCGGCTCTAGACAACTAACCAAACCTTATTTGATATTGTTTAACCGGAACATTTGTTCATATTGATAATTGGTTGTGGATGACGTCAGATCCGGTGCGGTATTACGAGAAAGTGATGTCCGTCCAGCTTAAAGGGGTAGCGGTTAATCAAGCACCTGCTCTGAAGGAAGTTGAGAAAGTTCGGTCAGATTTTCCTGAAACTTGGCTGTGGACCAACAAAACCAGCGGGTATTTAACACACGGAATAGATATTCGTGATATCCTTGTCTCCGCCGGAGCTTCCCTGCTGCTCCTCATGTCCTCTGGCCATTGTGATCCACCATCTTCCGCTATGCTATATAGTACCGCAACTGTGATTGGCAATATGACAGAATACCTTCTTAGAAAATGCCCATAATAACCATGGGAAATCCTAAAACGAAGGTTGCGGTGGGGTAGCCTAGTGGTTAAAGCGTTGGCTCGTCACGCCGAAGGCCCCGGTTCGATTCCCGACATGGGCACAATGTGTTAAGCCCATTTCTGGTGTCCCCCGCCGTGATATTGCTGGAATATTGCTAAAAGCGGCGTAAAACTAAACTCAATCAGTCAGTCAGCCTAAAACGAAGTCTAAAAGTAGAAAATGATCATGTGACATTTTTTTCCATCTTTGTGAGATAACATACATTCTTCTAGCCAACTGACGGAATGGCTGTTTACTTTTATTTGCGTTTTCATGATGTCGGTTATCAAGGTTGAAGGCCGTAAAAACAAAGTAACCATAAATTCTTTGAGCAGGGAAGACTTTAGAAGCATTATTTCCCAACAATCAAAACGAGTAAGTGGTTAACAAACAGCGATGTTTACACCATCGTCACATCGGTTGATGCTAGTCAAACAGGTTGTTGAACATAGCTGGTGGTTAATTAAATCAGTTATTTGTAGAAACGTCAAGATACGTCATGAAATCACTATCCCTTGGCCTACTGTGTAACAAATGGACGACATGATGTTTCACCGATTTAGATACATTAGGTTACATTGCCCCTTTATAGCATTCTGTATTGGCCATACATTACAACATTTTACAGCACCTTAGCTACGTCACAAATATGTCGATCATTCTCAACAAGCATTTCATCTCGGTTGAATTTAACCGTGGCTTGCTAAAATAAACAATTTACTTCAAGTAACTATTTTGGCTTTCAACATTAGTATAGTATATAAGAAAACGTACAAGGCGTACATGTCCAAAGGAAATACAAACGGCAAAGTCGTTAAAAGAAAATTAGTGCTGATTGGTTGTGGACCTACAGAACCGTTGGGTGAATAGACGGATTGTAAGTTTACTCGCTCTTACTGCATTTGCCACATATTGGCACATCCCCGTGCTCACCAAGTCAAATAACAACTTCATATTTGATGATTAAGGCAGAATATATATCAATAATGTACCTTTTACTAGTTTTAGCGCTAAAGAAATACATTTAGAATAAATGGTTTAATCTAAAATAAGACACATAAATAAATAAATGAATAAATAAATAGAAATCATCATCACGTGATCTGCAGTTTTCGTGCGATGGTATCACGTGTGTAATCGAACTACTTCTTACTATATCAGTTCTAAAGTCCCAATTAAAGGCATGACTTTAAAGGTGACTACAATTGCCTTGGCTGTTATCAATTCTAGAGTTATATGTTTCAATAAGTTTCATAATCGAATTGTGTAAAAGTTTCAAATGATTAAATGTTCCATTTCTTCATACATCAACCTTACAAAACGTGGTAAATATAGATACTGCTTTCCGAAGAATATTAAACACGAGACAAATTGACAAGTTATTGGAGAAGCACAAATATCAATGGCACCAGTGATATATAATCGTTTGCATAGAACCACCATTCATATCATTGCATTACTGTCAACTCACCCCAGTTAGTGGCTCAGTCGTCTTTGGGCACCCCAGATATTCGTGGTTCGAATCTCGTTTTGCCCTGATTATATGTCTAGCGTTGACAGCCTTGCTCGTGGGTGACACTCAAGTGGTACTCTTTAAAGACCTGTTTAACTTCGGGCTTTACACCCATCTCCATCCGACCATCAAAATACATACCTGAAATACTGTTCAACCCAAGTCACTCACTCACTCACTCACTCACCCAACCCACCCACAAACACACCCACACTCACTCACTCACTCACCCACCCACAGACCCACCCACACACTTACCCACTCACTCACCGACCCACCCACACACTAGTGGGTAGAGTGTATTCCCAGAGAACTGAAGGTCCGTGATTCGATCCATGTCACTCACTCACTCACTCACTCGTTGTAGCTCCACCCATATATGAATCGATGTTTGGAGGTATGCCCAATATGGCGCATCATCAGGTTGGGCTGCCAACACAAAATCTGAAAGAGGTAGAAAAAATACGAAGTGATTTCCCAGAAACCTGGCTTTGGACTAACCTAACCACAAGGTACACCATGGTAGCTATCTGTTGCATATATGCTATGTGCTATACCACCCCCTGTGTCCTGTCACTTGCTCTCTCCTTTATAGTTAAGAAATGAAACAGCAATAATTTATTAACGATATGTTTTTCTTCAAGTCGTAAAGGCCAAATGTCCATTATGTTTCAAAGACCATATAGTGTAACACAACTATAACATACAGTATATAATTAATATCATGTACACGAACTTCAGTCGATGCTTTAAAAGTGTGAAACCGCGGGTGTGGCATACAGTAGTTAAAAACATATGATAGATAATAAAACAATTACTATGTATTAATCCCAGTAGAAAATAGAGTTGGTTTAACATTTGAAACCCATTTGGTTTCAACCTTTATCGCATTCTTTCGTAAATAATTACATTTTTTAGTTTGATTATTTGACTCCAGTTCATAACATATATAATACTTTCAATACTAAGTGTCATTTCATGACCTTTAAGAAACATTATGCACACATGTACATGGAAGCATATGTGAATTGTGTTTCAAGTGATTCTGTCAAGTCTTTAAGGTCTTTTAAGGCTTGGCATACGGAACTGTATAATAGTGATGGATATAGACCCACCTTCAATCCCCGCCCCATATTGCTTCTGGTCACATGGACATTGTCATTCATTTCATACATCAGTTGAATAAATAGAACAGTATAGTGTAAAAGCCATACCATTGTGACGAAATAAACGATTAAGGGACAGTGTCTGTGACGTTTGAAATTGTAAGTGTCCCAAACAGATACAGCAGGGCCCATACCAATGCCTGGGATGGTCCCTGGAGGCATTGCTGGGATGGGAGGTGGTGCCGGAACAGGAGGAGGTGCGATCAATACAAACCACGCACCACTCAAGATACGCAGTGACTTTCCAGAAACTTGGCTCTGGACCAACCATTCATCTGGGTATATGGCCACAGAGTTTGTTACATTCCTCGCCAGCTCTGCTTATCCTGCATGGTTGTCGCTGCTATGTGAAACGTGTAAAGCTGGAGGAAGACTGTTTCAAGGATACATTTTTTCTGTAACGTTTTAAGCAGATATGAGGCCTTTTATTCTCATACAGAGTCAAATAGGATTTTATGGAAGCTTCAACAATTGGCGATTGGGTATCGTAAATGAAGTGATTGTAATTTTGTTACAAATATCAATTTTGCTTTTTATGTAAATGTTACGTAGAGGATTTTTAAATGTTCAAATGAAAGTGGTATGAAACTATGTAATCTGTAAGGTTGTCATAATGAGTTTACTTCCCACGAAAGACGAGCAACCAACAATGATCACAGACAGGAGGCGGGCTTGATAGGCCACCAGACCTGCAGTTTTGGGGGACATCTTTTCACACAGTGATCATATATGGGGGCGCTGCATGTTCAGTGACCTTCTCCTGTGTATTTATGAAAATGATAAACACGAATATAATGCATAATTAACTGATTGATGCGCTACTTAATAAGTGTTGAATACGATATATTAGCGGTGTGTCGTATCAAACATGGATTTCAGAGGAAGAATCTACATCAATACGTAGCTAAATACAAGATTCAAGTTGTTTTTCCATAAAGTGGTATGTTTCAACACTAAATCACCGACTTGCCGGAAGCCGTTTATGCAATAAAAATGAACAAACGTTTGAAATGCCGTTGGTGCTGAAGTAATTAACTGAACCGAATATTAATCGGGTTGTAGTTTTTTACCAACAGTTGTCAGTGTTTGTACTTACCGTGTGCGTAAAGTCGCGAATATTTACAAAAAAGCCCCACATGACTTCTAAGAACCGTCAGACACAGTCGTAAACCACGAATAATCGCATGACCACTAGCTGTGTGGAGCATTCAGTCAATAACTCTTTGTATATGTTTTTACTTATCAAGCATGTATGTTCAGGGTATGATATACCTTGACTTGTGCCAACAGGTATTCCCAACGCTCTTTGTTCCAAGTCTGAAACCCGCGCCCGCCCCCACA